GTTGTTGTTATTTACACCTAGTACTTGTGCAAACATACAAATCGACCAACAAACAAGCATACATATTAAACTACTACGTCGTCACTATCGGTGTTGTTGTTGTCGTTTTTTCATTTGATACATTTTCATTAATTGTTCGTTATTGCAAAAAACAAACTGACAAACCCACGTTGCAACATAAATCTATTTAATCGGAAAAATTGTTAATGCGAGAGTGAGTGAGCTAAGAGACGGTTGGTAGTCATTTAATTGGAATTTTTCCTTAATAAAGATACAAAAGAAGAGTAATAAATATAAAAACAAAACTAAATAAAAAGTAAACATTACTTTTATTAATAAAGTGTAGTGAAGTGAAGTGTGTGCTGTCTAGTCTAGAAGTCTATTAAAATTACAAAAGAAAAAGGAACCAACCAGAAAAATTAAAGTGTTTCATTTAACTTAAGTGCTAGTAAGTTTAGTTGGTTTTCAATTAAAATGCAAAGTTATGGTGATGCACGCTTTCGAAGCTATGGTTTCGATACCGACATGGAAATGGATACAGAAGCAGAATCTCAAAATGTTGCTGCTACTGTCAAATCCAAATCAAGTAAGTTTTCTTTCTACAATATTCTATAGCGATTTATACAAATTATTTCTTTTACTTCATGTTATTGTTGTTGGTTTTGTTGTTGCTGCTGCGGTTATTGTTTTTATCCGTGTACGCATGGAAGAGAAAATGTTGCCAGATGTTGTTTCGAAAAGGAAGTGGGATTTTATTAGATTTAAGTAAAAGGGGTGTGTAGAGGATGGTTAAATAGAATATTATGGTTTTTATTAATAAATTTTTATTGTTCAATTAATGATTTATATGAAGGTAATTAAAATTTGCTTGTTTTGTATACAATATGTGTACATTTTAAGTTGTAAAAGCTTTTTCTTTTTAAATATTCATTTAAGAACTTGAATGAATTAAAAATAATGATTTAAATTTCTAAATTATTAGAAATGTGTACAAAATTTTTACTTTTATTAATTCTTATTAAAAATTAAATTTATTAATTCTTATTAAAAAAGTGTAAAGTTTTAGCCTTCAAAATGTTTTACTTAAGTCAATTATTCAATTATTTTACTACCAGATAGTCGACCTTGACTGTTTCAAAATTACAGAACCGGTTTTTATAAAATAAAACAAACCGATAAGTCTTATCTATGATAAATGTCTACTTTTCGAATTTTGTAATTTATGAAAAGTAAACTTCTCAACATTTATCAATTTACAATTTCGTCGGCTTTTTTGTCGACATTCCGATTATTTTTAATTTATGGCAAATAGATTAATCGAAATTCTCTACTTTTCGAACATTTCTAATATTGACTTTCTGGCATCATTATGGCTCCTAAATAAAAAAAATCTTCGTAAAATTTAAAGCAACAGTAACAGCCAACATTTTTTGAAAATAATAAATTCTATATTATAGAATATATGTTTATTTTTTATTTTACGAAATCTTCTTCGTACTTTAATGTGAAATTCTTGTTTTATTTTTATAATTTATTCTTTTAATGCGCACATAAAAGATTTTCTGGCAACATAAAAGTGACGTGATATACACACTCTCGTACCTTAATTACACATTGTATTTCTCTAATCCTGCTGTTGTATTTTTGTCGGCGTTCTAATTTCTTTGTAATCGTTATCGATTATTATACACATTTCGACGTTCGTGTCTTTACATAAAAATGTTGCCAAATATTAGAATTACATACTTTTTTATACTTTCTATATAATATTTTGTTGCTGTTTCTTTGTACGTACATATGTACATACATATGTATATAGAATTAGGACATTTCCTTTAGGAGGTATTTTGTATCAAATAGATGAAAAGAAACATACATGTAAATACAGTTTGTGAAAATCATAAACGTACATTCAAACTTGCACTACTTCAGTTCGATGCTGTGCATAGTCTAATAACTTTACTATGGTCTAGTATATAAACTAATCTGGAGACTAGTCTTTTGAATTAGCCTATATTCCAGTCTAGTCTATATTCTAGTCTACAGTCTAGTCTAGTCTAGTCTATAGTCTAGTCTATAGTCTAGTCTATAGTCTAGTCTATAGTCTAGTCTATAGTCTAGTCTATAGTCTAGTCTATAGTCTAGTCTATAGTCTAGTCTATAGTCTAGTCTATAGTCTAGTCTATAGTCTAGTCTATAGTCTAGTCTATAGTCTAGTCTATAGTCTAGTCTATAGTCTAGTCTATAGTCTAGTCTATAGTCTAGTCTATAGTCTAGTCTATAGTCTCAGTCTATAGTCTAGTCTATAGTCTAGTCATAGTCTAGCTCTATAGTTCTAGTCTATTTCCTTAAAACGTAAAAAGTACTATTTTTGTCATAAGTTAGTACTATTTCAAAGTTTCAATTCTTCCATGCCTGTGACTAGCTCTATTGACTAAAGAAACTTATTTAATGCTACTCAATTGACTAATACATAGACAAATCCATTTATTGATTTATAAATTGACTTTAGAAGTCGGTCTAAAATGTTACTGTTTCCTATTAATATAAATTTGCAAAAATTATATATATACATATGTATGTACATATATACAATCGGAATCGAAGAAGTACAAATTTTAATGCAATTTTAAAACTCCATTTGCTATCTCTGCTTGATACAGAACTGAGTTCTGAGAAACAGTCAAAGAGTTCATTTGTCATTTTAAAACAGGCATCGGTAAAGAGTTAAAAATGAGCTCTTACTGCTTTTATGATGGCTTTCGTATGTTTTAAACCGAAAGAGTTCATAAGAAAGATATATTTCTTTACTTGTGGTTCATATTGACTCTAGATTAGATTACTTGGGAACACTTAAAAGGCAAATGACTTATTAATACAGTGTAGAAGTTACAGGCAAGCTGAAGTTACACATTTGTAAAATGTAATATTCGAAAGGGATCAATTGACAACTTTTTAAAACTATCGGGTTGTTTGTACTTTTTGACCTTTTCGAACAAAATTGTACACAAATACATAATGTTTAAGTACAAATGAATCATTAATAATTATAACAAACTACACAAATTTGAAATGTTTTGAGTTTCTTACACTCTGTTAGCAATAAAATTTGACATGAAAATTTATGCTCTTATTTTTAAGTCTTTTTTATAAAAGTTCTAATTTCCCAACCCTGTTGTTTACTCAGACAGCCACTGTCAAATCCGCCGGTTAGTTTTAATAATTCGTATACAACTCCCTCAATCACCCGCTAATTATTTCTTTTATTTAGCTAAATAAATATTGTTTTAAAATAGAATTTCAAAAACAAATATTTTTGCATACATGGTACCCGTCCTAATTGATAAGCTTTGCCGAAAATGAGTTAAAAAAAAAATAATTTTAAAGTTTTTTTTTCAATGTTTTTCTTTTATTTAACACACCTATTCGACGAAGCTTCTACTCATCAACAAAGTAAATTTTTGTTTTATATTAGAAAAACCAACAAACAAACATTTGTTTCTATTGTTATTATTTGTTCTAAGTTTTATAGTATATTTTATTTTTTTTATTTTTCATGTCATGAGTAGGAGCACAAATAAAAGAGTACTGTATATTTTTATTTGTGCATATATAATAAATTGTTTTTGTTGTTGTAAAATTTCTGATTATTTCTCTTTATTTTGCGTCTCGGATAGCGTATGGTCTTTTAGATTTGTCACTAAGGTTGGTAACACTGTTTGATAGGTTGGGAAATTTTTAGAGTTCTTAGAAATCAATTTCAAATATTTTTGAAATCGATGTTGTTATAATTCTTTTCCGTAACCTAACCCGGATGAGTAATGTATTAATTGAACTGATGTTTCTAAGAAAATTTATTCAATTTACGTCAGTGATGGGCAATACATTTAAAATTTAATAAATTAAAAAATTAACCACTTTTTCTTCCCAATAAATACAGTATTGTCCAAAACCTAAGCCTAAAGACCCCATCTTGGTGTAATTTCAATCACGGGGAAAAGAGGTGCTGCCAGAAACTCTAGTCTGACGCAGGTAGAGTTTCGGAATTTGTCTTGTCCCAGTTATTGGAGGGTTCCCTTCGGGGTGCGTGTGATGGCTGTGGTTTTAAACTCAAATTCGCTGGAAAAGAATGTCGGTTAAAAGACTAATGCACGGTAAAGTCTATAATTCGGGTTTAGTTCGGTGCTGTTGCCGAAGTCAACAAACACTCCCCACAGAGGAGTGACTGTGGGACTGAGCTATGGAAATGAGTTAGTGTTAAGTGTATATGATACAGGATGAATGTAGGAGTATATGGAACTTGTCCGCCCGTATACCTACAGTGAGCGTGTCGGATGTTGTTCTCTATGAGTGTGTCGAATGAATGAGAAGTGTGCTAGGTATCTTATACAAGTCCAGTTATGTTCATCTGTTTATACCAGATTTACCAGAGTCTGTTCTCTGTGAGTAAGAATAAAGTCCTCGGCTTATTTGATGGATTCGAGTTTCTGTCTACCGAATACGTCTCTAGGTGCTGTTACCGACTCAACAGAGGCCAATCCATCTGATGTTTTTTGTATCTCGCTAGTTAGGAAATGGAGCAGCAATGTTCAGAGATTAGATAGCTCGAGTACTTGAGCATAGTGCTTGTAAATGGACCGGCAGAACCATGTATAATTAAGATTAATAAAGGTGCGGTGGTGAGTCGTCTAGTCAGCTCACCAAGTGGTTGAAAAAGTACCACCGTGAAATAATGCCAACACGGCAGTGGTTCACGTAAAGCTCTACGACATCATTACCTATCCTACCTAATCAATGCTGGTAAAACAATTGTCACTTTACTAACCCAACGTAATGTAGAAAGTAAATAACATATTCAACTACATGTCAAAATGCTTGGTCTAGAGTGCCTAATATTTCGATATCTACCGACAAAACAATACTTTTTTTTGTTGTTATTATTTGTTTTTGTTATTAGTACAGTTAAGCTAAAATAACAAGTTCATTATTCTCAGCGGCATTATTTTGATTTTTTGTACTACAATTCAGTTCTACTTCGTGAAGCAGATAAATAAGATTGACAACGATAAAAGTTTAATTTTAAACAAAATTTAAAAAAGAACAAATTAAACAAATTTATTACAAGTGAATTATTGCAACGTTCTATAAAACAAAGAAACAACAAGCAAAAAAATTGCATTTAAATTTTCACCAAGTTCCTTTAATTTAACAAAAGTGCTACAAATTAAAACGAAAATTTGAAAAATTACACAAAAACAACAAAAATACATAAATAATTGAGTATGCTTAAAGAAGAAGAAGAAAAAAAGTGAATTTTGTTATTATAAATTATTATATTTCTTTTTTTATTTTTGTTTATTATGCAATCTTTGAAAAAAAGTGCAGTGAATTTGAAGCAAAAGCAACAACAATTTAAATACAAATTTGCAGTAAAACTACATGATGATGATGATGTTGTTGAAGATAATAATGATGACAGCTGATTTGTATTTTGTTTTTTTGCATTGCTGCTGTCTGTTTGTCTGTCCGTCTGCCTGTCTTTTACTTTAATGTGAAATGTAATCATTTTTCTATTTAAATTTTTTAAAAGCCTATTTATAGTTATAAATTTATTTATTTGTTTATTCAATTTTTATATGCAGTGTAGTGTTGTTAGTGTTTTTCTATTTTATTTCATGAAGTTTATTTATTTTTCTTTTGGCAATTTGCTAATATTGTGAAAATTTTATATAAATACCAAAATAACAACAACAAAATTAATAATAATTTATAATAACAATATTAAAAAATTTCCTCAAAAATAAAATGCGTTGTATAGATTAGGGTAAAAAAAGACGAATTTTCAAATGATTCATAGACAAACCCGAAAGAAAACAAATTGTAGTAGTACCGACCCCATCGGCCAGTGTATTTATGAGTTTGTTTACATTCTAAAATAAATTCGATGTGCCTCTTTGTGACGTTTACAAATTGCTAGCAGAGTGTGTTAAAATTAATTATTCTACAATTTATAATTGTAAAATATTTTATAGTAATAACCAGGCATGGAATATCAGTACTTTAGCACTTTTTTCAATAATTTTTGATATCAAAGAATACCGCGGTACCCCTGCGACATTTTTAGTACTTTTTCTAACTTATAACCTTTTGATATACATATGTACATAGTCTAGTCTATAGTTTAGTCTATAATCTAGTCTATGGCCTATTCTATAGTAATATATTTATAGTCTAGTCTATAGTCTATAGTCTAGTCTATAGTCTAGTCTATAGTCTAGTCTATAGTCTAGTCTATAGTCTAGTCTATAGTCTAGTCTATAGTCTAGTCTATAGTCTAGTCTATAGTCTAGTCTATAGTCTAGTCTATAGTCTAGTCTATAGTCTATATAGTCTATAGTCTAGTCTATAGTCTAGTCTATAGTCTAGTCTATAGTCTAGTCTATAGTCTAGTCTATAGTCTAGTCTATAGTCTAGTCTATAGTCTAGTCTATAGTCTAGTCTATAGTCTAGTCTAGTCTATAGTCTAGTCTAGTCTATAGTCTAGTCTAGTCTATAGTCTAGTCGATAGTCTAGTCTAGTCTATAGTCTAGTCTATAGTCTAGTCTATAGTCTAGTCTATAGTCTAGTCTATAGTCTAGTCTATAGTCTAGTCTATAGTCTAGTCTATAGTCTAGTCTATAGTCTAGTCTATAGTCTAGTCTATAGTCATGTCTAGTCTAGTCTATAGTCTAGTCTATAGTCTAGTCTATAGTCTAGTCTATAGTCTAGTCTATAGTCTAGTCTATAGTCTAGTCATCTAGTCTAGTCTATAGTCTAGTCTATAGTCTAGTCTATAGTCTAGTCTATAGTCTAGTCTATAGTCTAGTCTATAGTCTAGTCTATAGTCTAGTCTATAGTCTAGTCTAGTCTAGTCTATAGTCTAGTCTATAGTCTAGTCTATAGTCTAGTCTATAGTCTAGTCTATAGTCTAGTCTATAGTCTAGTCTATAGTCTAGTCTATAGTCTAGTCTATAGTCTAGTCTATAGTCTAGTCTATAGTCTAGTCTATAGTCTAGTCTATAGTCTAGTCTATAGTCTAGTCTATAGTCTAGTCTATAGTCTAGTCTATAATCTAGTCAGTAGTCTAGTCTATAATCTAGTCTGTAGTCTAGTCTATAGTCTAGTCCATAGTCTTGTCTATAGTCTAGCCTATAGTCTAGTCTATAGTCTAGTCTATAGTCTAGTCTATAGTCTAGTCTATAGTCTAGTCTATAGTCTAGTCTATAGTCTAGTCTATAGTCTAGTCTATAGTCTAGTCTATAGTCTAGTCTATAGTCTAGTCTATAGTCTAGTCTATAGTCTAGTCTATAGTCTAGTCTATAGTCTAGTCTATAGTCTAGTCTATAGTCTAGTCTATAGTCTAGTCTATAGTCTAGTCTATAGTCTAGTCTATAGTCTAGTCTATAGTCTAGTCTATAGTCTAGTCTATAGTCTAGTCTATAGTCTAGTCTATAGTCTAGTCTATAATCTAGTCAGTAGTCTAGTCTATAATCTAGTCTGTAGTCTAGTCTATAGTCTAGTCCATAGTCTTGTCTATAGTCTAGCCTATAGTCTAGTCTATAGTCTAGTCTATTGTCCAGTCTATGTTAAATGCAATTTATATTTCATTCAAAATTTACACACATATATATAAAGTCTGGTCTGGTAACACTAAGGTTAATAATGTACACCTTTAATTATTTTCTCTCTTTTCCTAATTTAATCTCTATTTTTTACTAATATAAATAACAATCTAATTTTTAAAAAAAAAACCCACTGATAAGATTTGACTCTTATCGTAGTGAAATAATTATTGCCCCCTACCAATATTTATATTAATATGCGAATCTTTGCATAGCAAAACAAAAATGTTTTATTGTCTATAAAAGCAAAATTCATATACAGCTGCCTTAAGCATAATTCATCTATCTATTTGCTTATTTTTATTCTTAATAAATTTGCAAATATTTTTCCATAGATTCCAAATAAATAAACTGCAAAATATTTTAAGAACAAAACCCACTCAAAACGACCACACTTGCGATCTGTCACTGCAATTTCTTCATTAAATTACAACTGTCTGAATTGCAATTTAGGTCGACTACAAATAATTGATGGCACTTTAATTCTCAATGTGTCCGTACTGACTGTACAACGACCGACAACGCATTTTTGTGACGTAAATTGTGTATAAATTTGGCAAAATTTATAAATTTTTGTTGCAAATTTTATTTTTATTATAGATCTATAGTATATTATTAAAAGAAAACATTTAGATAAGTAAAAAAAAATAAAACATTTGAAGAAAATTGTGTTAAAATAATATAAAAAAGCATCAGCATGAGTGCTCGTGGCTTTTTAATTGCTTCTGATTCGCTGGAATCTATGGATATACAGATGGCTGATGCTTTCAATCCGCGCTCACCAAAAACACCACCATTACATTTGGATTTGGCTAATGGTAAGCAAAAGGGGGAAGATTGAAAATGTTAGATGGATAGATAGATAGATAGATAGATAGATAGATAGATAGATAGATAGATAGATAGATAGATAGATAGAGATAGATAGATAGATAGATAGATAGATAGATAGATAGATAGATAGATAGATAGATAGATAGATAGATAGATAGATAGATAGATAGATAGATAGTAGTAGATAGATAGATAGATAGATAGATAGATAGATAGATAGATAGATAGATAGATAGATAGATAGATAGATAGATAGATAGATAGATAGATAGATAGATAGATAGATAGATAGATAGATAGATAGATAGATAGATAGATAGATAGATAGATAGATAGATAGATAGATAGATAGATAGATAGATAGATAGATAGATAGATAGATAGATAGATAGATAGATAGATAGATAGATAGATAGATAGGTAGATAGATAGATAGATAGATAGATAGATAGATAGAGATAGATAGATAGATAGATAGATAGATAGATAGATAGATAGATAGATAGATAGATAGATAGATAGATAGATAGATAGATAGATAGATAGATAGATAGATAAATAGATAGATAGATAGATAGATAGATAGATAGATAGATAGATAGATAGATAGATAGATAGATAGATAGATAGATAGATAGATAGATAGATAGATAGATAGATAGATAGATAGATAGATAGATAGATAGATAGATAGATAGATAGATAGATAGATAGATAGATAGATAGATAGATAGATAGATAGATAGATAGATAGATAGATAGATAGATAGATAGGTAGATAGATAGATAGATAGGTAGATAGATAGATAGATAGTAGATAGATAGATAGATAGATAGATAGATAGATAGATAGATAGATAGATAGATAGATAGATAGATAGATAGATAGATAGATAGATAGATAGATAGATAGATAGATAGATAGATAGATAGATAGATAACTAGATAGATAGATAGATAGATAGATAGATAGATAGATAGATAGATAGATAGATAGATAGATAGATAGATAGATAGATAGATAGATAGATAGATAGATAGATAGATAGATAGATAGATAGATAGATAGATAGATAGATAGATAGATAGATAGATAGATAGATAGATAGATAGATAGATAGATAGATAGATAGATAGATAGATATAGATAGATAGATAGATAGATAGATAGATAGATAGATAGATAGATAGATAGATAGATAGATAGATAGATAGATAGATAGATAGATAGATAGATAGATAGATAGATAGATAGATAGATAGATAGATAAATAGATAGATAGATAGATAGATAGATAGATAGATAGATAGATAGATAGATAGATAGATAGATAGATAGATAGATAGATAGATAGATAGATAGATAGATAGATAGATAGATAGATAGATAGATAGATAGATAGATAGATAGATAGATAGATAGATAGATAGATAGATAGATAGATAGATAGATAGATAGATAGATAGATAGATAGATAGAGTAGATAGATAGATAGATAGATGATAGATAGATAGATAGATAGATAGATAGATAGATAGATAGATAGATAGATAGATAGATAGATAGATAGATAGATAGATAGATAGATAGATAGATAGATAGATAGATAGATAGATA